ACAAATATTCATTTTTTCAAAGGGCTGTTTGGTCGGGTTGAAAGGGACACGATTGCATTGGGAGGCAGAAAGAACTTTCTGAGAACGGATACCCTCATTGTTCGGACTTGCTACAAACATCTCTTGCCACACATCCACAATGAATGCCAGCCCAAAGTAGGACCAGGAGGCACCGAATATGACTGTCGCTGCGCGGTAACGGGTACTCCTGGGATCGGCAAGACGGTATTTGGCCTCTACCTGCTCCGCCATTTTATCATCCAGAGAGAAACGGTGCTTTACTGGGGACAGGACAACTGTGTATATCTATTTTCATTTGATTCAGCGGTCCAAAGAATTTTTGGGCTGAAAGAAACAGAGACTGGGATGGCTCCGGAGGATGAAGAGAAAAACGGCCAATCCCGAAAAATGTATTGTGGAAAATGGTCCGTCCCCGATGGATCCAGTGTTCGTTGGACTGACTTTTTAAACTGCGCCGACGAATACAATATTATCTTTATCAAGGATCCAGCTGAGGGCGACAAAAGAGTTTCACTTCGGGCACACGAAGTTTCGAGACTCATCTACATTGTATCTCATGGACACTCCTTGATTAGTCATTGGAACTTGAAAGGACACGACTTCGAGTTCTTCTATATGCCTCTTTGGACCAAGCAGGAAGCCGAACAATGCAGGCAATTTTTGAAGCCTCAGACTCGAAATGCTGGATTTGATTCTCTTGCCAGTTTATCACAGCAAGAGATTGACGATAGGTTCCACAGTTTTGGAGGAAGCATTCGCGGGTGGGTGTTTCCGGCTCTTTGGGACGAACTCGATTCCAAAGTAACAGAGGTTGTGCAGCAAAAGGGCGACAATATTCTGAAGAAATCCCCGAACAGTGGAGGCTCTGTTATTCACATGGAAGTCGCATTTGATAAAAACAGGCCTATACTGAGCCTTGTATCACCCCAGCAAGAGGACGCCATGGATGAAAGTGAAGAAAGTGACGAAAATCCGAATAACTTTTCTGAATACCAATACATTTTTGGTTCTGAAAAGATATTGGATGTTTTAAACGAGAAATTGCTCCACCAAGGTCAGGAGACACTGAGGCTATGCCTCCAAAACTGGGCCAGTCAAAATGGCTTCGAGTGTGTCTATGGATCTCTCTTCGAACTACATTGTCATCGTCGGTTGGAAAGCCAAAATGGAAATCTCAAGCTGAGGATGCGTATTGTTTACGAAGATGCCAGCAGAAACAATGACAACATTTATGAAATTCTATTTCCGAAATTTGAAGGTACTTGCCGGTATCCATCAAACGATCCATCCATCCTTGAAGACTGCCGCTACAATACCAACAAGCTGGGAATGTACTTCTGGCCCATCTCCAGCAATCACCCAACTTATGATTCTGCCATTGTTGTAAACAGAAAGGACCTGCTTGCACATGGTGATGATCAGGATATTTTTGGGGATAATGTAGGACAGGTCGCGCTGCTGCTGCAAATGACTGTGTCTGGGGCAACTGGCTTACCTCGTCGGCCCGAACACTCTGTGAAACAACTCATCAGGAAAAAATTTGAGGCAGTTTTCAACAAAAGAGTCAACGGTTTTAAGGAAAAGGGGAAAGCCTACACTGCATTTGTTGTACCAACTGAATGTTTCAAGCCGTTCTTGTTTCAGGACGAAGAAAATACGACTGGTCACAGAGCTAGTGTTCAGCCAAAATGTCAGCTAGTGATTGAATTCCCAAACGTCTTCACATATAAGATGAGGTCTCCACGTGCAAGGACAGAGAAGCCGCACATGTTTGAGCGAAAGAAAAGGAAAGTATTTCACAAGTATGATCATGCGATTCAGCAAGCAGAGATTAATTTCTGAGCCTCTTCTCGTTGGTGAACCTGCCTTGCAGTCGATGGTATGTTGGAGTCTTGTTATTCCTGTCAGGTCTTAGGCCGGTCTCTACCGGAGCGACTAAGGGAACGACTAAAGGAATCCTTTAGGTTGTTAGTTGAAGATTTAGTCATTATCCTTTTAGTAATGGTGGTGTCTACCAGCAGATGACTAAATCTCCGACTAAACAATTTAGTCAGTTCTTTAGTCATTTGGACCTGTCTACCCAGCCGACTAAACAAATGACTAAACGTAACACTGCTGGACTTAGAGGACTCAAAAAGATTTAACAAAAGTGATCACTTGGTTGGCTACCAATATTCTATCAGAAAGGTGGATTTAAAGGACTCAAACAAAGACTTAAAGAAGTGATTACTTTTTTGAGATAACAAGACTCAAAACACAACACTGTCATTCGATTGTTCGATCGTTTGCACCTTTACTATCATTCATTCGATCCTTTGCAACTCTCCTCTATTGGCACTGATTCGATGGCCTAATAGTGAGGCTAGGAGTGTGGAATTTGTTGTAAAACTTTCCGATTCATTAGCCAACGCGGAAGTCTTGACTTGTGCCATCCTGTTGTCGTGGTTCACCAAGAAAGTCTAGGATGCTGGCTCTGGTATGTTATGTTGCCTTGTCTCTTTGTGTTGTCGTCTGTTGCGGAGGTTGTCGCTTCCCTTTTTGCAATAGAGGATCAATGAATAAAGATGTGGCTTGAATGATGCAGTAAACCTTGGGATATTAATAAGTTGTCTTTGCGAAGACTCCTTTGGCTCAAAATTGGTTAGCGGAGCGATCAATGATCAAAGCAAAGAGTTGCTACTAGTAGCTTCCTTGTGCGTACAGTGTGTTCGCAAATGGTGTACTCTAGAGTATGGTGTGCAATTGTTCACGATGAAGCTGACTTCGTTCAAGGGTGCACACCCATTTGATAGTGGTCGCAGTTCGCTTGTTTCAGCCAGAAAGTTCAGTCGTGCAAGCGAATATAAAACATGTACTCTACGTAATAATATTATTATACAAATGCGCGGGGCGTGTCATTCTCTTGTTCATCACAACATGTCGATTTTCAACAGCTTGGCGGACCCCTTATGAGTGCAGACACCAATCAAATCGTTTCATTTACGTCCTAGAGAACACCTTTGAATGATGGCATTAAGTCTAGATCGTGTTTGAAAATCATGTCGAGCGACAACCGGTGTCCGGCATAACTGAACGGTTATACCGTCGAGTATCGTACGTGTCCAGTTATCTGGACGATCTCAGTCCAGCCAGCGGAAGGTTACCAATAGGTACCAAATGTGGATAGTAACTAGTTTGTGTACCTTTCAACAGCCCGAAGCAATCAGACAGCCCATTTTTTCTACGAAGATGGTCTCATCAGACCTCAATCGAAAGGCCAAACTTTGGTCATTTACTTTCACCTCTTTCACGGACAATGATGTTGAACGGTTTTCGAATCTCGTAGGCGATACCATTGCATACATCTCATTCGCAATCGTCAATGACGATGCAGGCAGTCAATTCCTTCAAGGATTTGTTAGAACTCACAAGCGCTCCTATAAAGTAGTGCTCCGTCGTTTACTTGGTGAGAATGCCATATATGATATCCCAGAAAGGAACGAAGATGTCTATAATATCTTGACAACAATTCAATTGAGCCCCTCTCCCAGAGAATTTGGGAGTGCAGAAAAGACCCGCTTTGAAAGTTATTTGAAAGACATCAAAGAATTTAAAGCAACGATCAACACCACTCAGCCCCCGGTTGGTTCGAACGAACTAGTAAAAAGGTTCCCTAAAATCTGTCTCAGTTTCCCCATGCATGTGCAGAAATACTTGAAAAAGATCGGATTCGCAGCCACCGCCTTCCCCTCTCCCTCCCTCGACGATGAAGTCATGGCATGGTGGATCAAAACACGCAGTTAGTTTTTTTTTAACCTGTCTATTTAAAACCAGCAAGGTCGACCATTGTTCTGCCGTTACAACCCCGTTCAGAATCATACAGCTTTGAGACAACAAGTTTAGCCACCTGTTTGTTTTCCTCGTAGACCAACCCGTTCATAGTACGAATTTGGAGAGATTGTCAATATCCGGAGTAGCGACGTAGGCAAAAGGCAAACCCTCCTCATGAAGAACTTGATATCAACAACCACGGGTTGACCAGCACGAAACACAGGCCGGTTAGGGATTTCGGCCTTGATCCTCTCCTTCAAAGCGGCCATCTCCTTGCTCCTAGGGTTATAGAACCCACACTTGCCAAGCCTTGGTCTTGCCTGAGGTTTCGGCACACCTCCTAACTCCAGCGTGTATCGCGCCTCCACTGACATGACATCGTCAGTGACATCAACAGTCTCGATAACCTTGGATGAAAACATTGGCTGAAGATGAATGAAAAAAAAAAACCAAGGCCGCCCGTATTCATGCCACACTGGTATTGACGAACGGGCACGCCACTGGTATTGACGAACAACACTCCCCCCACCATCTTGGTTGCCGAAAACAAACACCGGTTGTTGCAAGACATCAACCTTTAAGTCAGCGGGAGCTGCGATACCTCGGCAGAAAGACAGATAGAAGAAGGACGACCACTTGTGGCTGATCTATAATTTATAGAGCAAACCCACGATTGAAACACAAAGAGGAGAATCTCGAGGATTGTTAGCTAGACCGCTTGCTAATACATCCACAATAACACAATACCTTAAGCATTTCATTTAGCCATATTTCTCTAGAATCCCTGGCAATACATTTCTCCGCCACAGCAGAGTATGGCGGGCACAACGTGCTTTGTCGAGTGATTTTTAACCCTCTCAAGTTGTAGATTATGATTCGTTGCACTATCTCTCCTCTCTTGCGCAATCTTCTTTCTATCATGCGTATGTTGAAATATGCTGATCTCTACTTGGAAGAAACCCGGATCCTTGCCAAAGAGTTTCTGTACCCTTTCGTCCCAATCATGCTCTAAGATTGTGTGTTCTTTCTTTGCCTGTTCTGTGAGTTCTGCAAGCTGAGCTTTCAGCCATCCTCTATTTAAAGAGTTTTCTAGATCTTCAACACTACGTAGCTTCTGCAGCTTCTGTCGCTCCATCTTCAGCTGAGCCTTAATCTTGTTTATTTCCAAAGCTTGATCAATCCAGAGCTGTTTTTCGTTGAAATTGTGTGCTTCAGCATCGAAGAATTCATTCTTTAAGCGGCGGATTCGTTTCCTATCTCGATCCTTTATTTTGGCAATCTCATATTCTTCTATAGATTGTTGTTCTCGATGCTTCTGCATGAATTCTCTTTTGACTTTCAACTCTGCCGTTCCTCGTCTGTTTGTTGTGCCTGCTTTTTCTGTTTGGACCGCCGATTGGCTTCAATTTTCCTGCGGTAAGCGGGTGTTCCATACTTGACAGGCATGGTTGCTTGGTCGCCCCAGTTATTGGTGTCGTGTGTCTATACAAGTAGCTGGCTGGTGCTTCTGGAAGGGATCTTACTATATGCGGTTGATGGCTGTTGTCAAAATCAATGGCTGTTGGATGCATGGCTGTGGCAAACGCGTTGTCGCTGTTGGTTGGATGCAATGGCTGCGGCAAAGGGCAAATGGCATCAACTTAACCCTATACCCTGGCTTCACCAAAACGGGGATCCCACAGACACAAAACCAGGGGATCCCACAGACGCAATATTTGCCAAAAAAGGGGTAGAGGACTCAGGCAGTTAACCTGCCGAGGTTAAAAAGCCAAAAGTAAAAGGTGAGACGCCCGAGGTTTTGGTAACTAAACCGTTGAGAATCAGACTATCACCCGTTAGGTTTGGTTAAGTAACAGACCAATATGCTAAGGTTAAGAATATGTCGAAGGGTCGGTCCCCCCTTCCCGCTCCCCTCAGTCTTCAAAACCCACCCCTCTCCTTGAGCCAAAACTGTCTTCCAGGGTTACTCGGCATTTTGTCTATTTAAGGCTATTGTATCTGATTACAGAGTTGCCTAAACGTTCTATGCTCCTTTGTAAAAGTGGCTTATGTCTCACAATGTCTACGGATGTCTCACAATGTCTACAAATGTCTCACAATGTCTCCAGATGTCTCACAATGTATCACTTTGTCTGCTAATGTCTACCAATGTCTCACTTTGTCTACACAGTACAGAAAAACAGTACAAAAATGTCTCACTTTGTCTACCAATGTCTCACAATGTCTCACTTTGTCTACCAATGTCTCACAATGTATCACTTTGTCTACTAATGTCTCCTAAAGTCGCACAATGTCTACTTTGTCTACTTATGTCTACTAACAGTGTGTGGACATTTACATAAGAATCACTTTTAATCGCCAAAACACTTTCCCAAACAGACAAAATGCCGAGTAACCCAGTACTGGAAACTGGAGTGATGAATGATCAATCTAAACATGACCCTTCGGCACGAAGTTTCTTTGGATCGGGGTGTCGATGATTGAATCTAATGGCGGTGAGGAGGCCCACCTTGATGCACCGTATACTGATGTCCTGAACATTTCTAAAAGTCTGGCAAGGACTGCTGAAAGTGGCTCAATGTTGATTCGGCTCGCTTCGGCGAAAATGGTCGCTGCGCCGCAAGTTGCAGACGGTTAGTCGCATTTGAAATACCAGTTGCAGTCGTTGGATAGACAATCAGAGTCTTCATTGCACCTTCTCCCCTTTTTGAGGCGTCCTTCGCAGGTTCCAGGATACGAAAATCCTTCACAACGTCCAGACGAGCACTGGCTACCATCTCTGCAAGGACCCCCATTGGGCATCTTTCCGTCTTCCTGAGCACATTTCATTACAGATTGAAGGCATACATCACTCTGACAATCACTGTTCTCATTGCAGCTAGATTTGACACCGACTTTGCGTTTGCATGTACGCTCGAGGTATCCCTCACACCGACCAGTGGAGCAATCTCTGTCTACCATGCAGGGGCCGCCGTTTGGAATCTTGCCATCCTTCTGAGCACAAATCTTCAAATTTCTATTTGAAACAAAGACGCATTTGCCACTCTCACAGTCGCTATCCCCGTAGCATTGCTCCAACAACTTGGCTTTTGCTTGGCATCTGTAAGGAGGGACCAACCCAGCACAGCGTCCGGACTCGCACTCGTCATCGTAACCACAGAGGGAGCCATTCTTCCATCCCGTGATGTAAATGTACTTTCTGCGCCTTCTCTTGTTGTAATCCCGGACCTTCCTCATCCGTTCCTCATAATGTCTGATCAGATGACATGTGACCGCGCAATTACCATACCTTTGCTGTCTGTTGTTCAGGCCAATATAGGCTGGCGCAAGTTGGTTCTGGGAACCCATCACGATTGCCCGTCCAAAATGCTCTGCTCCATTTCCGAAAAGATTTGGAGCAAGGTCGTACAGACTTCCAGCCTCAAGATTGTGAGCATTTATGAACCTGTAATGGCGTGTAGGTTCGAGAGCCGAACAAGTTTCATAGACAGCTTTTGGTGCACCAAATGTAGCAACCAAGGGGTTCTTATCCTTGTAGACGAGGCCAGCAACTGCAGCAATCGAGCCACCCTGACCACAAAACAACCAACCAAGAGATCAGTTATAAAAAGTCGCCATGAATGGAAGAAAGCTGGCTGATTTGACTGGGGACTCTTTTTTCTAGATGTCACAGTGCCGACCTACCTGGCTGTGCCCCGTGAAAATCATCTTGCATTTTTGTCGCCGACAGTACCTTCGTCCTCGTTTTCGATAACAAACTCTTTTACCAGAGCACTTGGCCATGCATCGTTCCATGGCCGCTTCGAACTTGGCTCGGTACGCCGTGTTGTAGCCGTCGTAGAAGCCCTTCCGGACAGTGCAACCATTCACTTCATGATCATCAAGGCTAAAGTTCTGGATCCAATCCTCAAAAGTCGGGTCGAAATCGTCTGTTCCCTAAAAGCCAAAGTCAAATGGGTTTGTCGGCAACAACGTGACGAGGACATGAGCTTGGTTGGGCAACACAAATAGTCACCAAGTACCGGTACCGGTACCACTTACACGGAATGCACCATAGCAGGCGTGGACGCCCTTGACTTTGGCTACCATGGCTTGGTCTGGAGTCTTCTCCCATGCCTCAAGAAACTCGAGGTTGTACCTTTCCTTCTGTTCGTCGTAGTCTGACAATATCCATGGGAAGTATGAAATCTCTGCCATTCTACTTGCCTCGTACAATTCATTCCATTCCGTCGATGACAACCGGATTTTGCCTTTGGCTTGGATCCAACGAGGGAGAGAGAGGATCAGTCCTGCCTGGAGGAGGCTACCCCAAAGGCCTCTGATGCTCATCGTCAAAATCTTTTCCGGCTCTGAAAGAAATGAGAAACTCGGCTTGCAACGGGTCACCGATGGTATCTTCAAGATACTATCTTTCGCAAACATTCATCAAGTGTACCAGCCTTCAACGGTGCATGGTACCTGGCACCGGTCCCATCATCCAAACTTCATGGTACCGAATCTTTCGCAGATCTACACAAGACACTGTGCCAGCAGCTGTGCCATTTTCGAGTGCTGGCTAGCTAGAATACATACGGTCGAGTACGGTCTACGGTGTACTAGTATTGTACATACGGTATGCATAGAAGCTGGCAGAACGGCTGGCAGTGGCAAATGACAGCCGAGAGGTCCATGCAGGCAAGCCGTGGAAAAGCTCCCTCCTTCCCACTCCTTCCCAGATAAATCAAACGGGTGGACATCGTGGTGAACACCTTTATCGCCATTCAGCCGCCGCTTGATCCATGCTTCGTGAGTACCAAGGCCCTCGTCCTCTGGCTGCACCCACGATCTCCGTACTCCATGCTTGACCGAGGGTCATGGTACTGGTATCGACCAAGTACCAGGTACATCGTACTTCTCATGGCCATCATATCATGACTGAATCTGTCTTATATTAACTTGGAGAGCTACTAGCTAGGCTCCTTCAAAGAAGTATGCAGGAAACTTTGTCAAGAGCTGAGTTGATACTGTGCAGGACGTCCGCAGCAACCGTTGTCTTGCCTTCAAGGCGGTCCCTGAATAGCAGGTTCCATTGCTCATGCCCTGTTCCGATATGCCCAAGTCTATACCAAACCAGCTGCTCGTTGCTTTGGATTGCCCTGTGCTCGTGTCATGCTGGCCGATTTCAAAACTTGACTACTCACTGCTGCTACATCTTCTCCCTACAATGGACCTGCTTGAGCGAGGTTCAAATCTCCAGCGGCCAGCCAAGACGTCTTAGACACACATATCAAAAATCTTTTCTTCTCAGTGGGCACAAACTTTTCGAGCAGCGCGGCGGTTTCACCTAGTTGTCGTTTTTCTTGTTTGCTCGTGGTTATGTCATGATGCATTGAGCCGGGTATTCCGGGAAGCAAGTGGCCGTGAACAGCATGGACTCATTCTCCAAAACCTGCCATTCTTGCCAAAAGGCAGCGGGTGCTTCAATAAGCGTCTTGCCATCACGTCCAAGGCGACGACCTGTACCGAATTCCCCCATGAGACCTGTACGCGACCGAAACTGTTCACTGCTAGCTAGCACCATCCAACTTGACCGAAACTAAGTCCTTCAACAACGTTTGAATCTCGATAAACTTGCCTTTTGCCAGTTCGATGGTAAAAACCAAACATTGGGCCTTTGTCAGCCACGCTCAGAGTGACGGTTCACCTTGTACTTGCCTCCAAGTTTCTTGGGTAGGTGGGCCGATTCAACAACATTTGAACAAGTATTGCCCCCCAGCCCGAGACTTCCAGAACGTCGTCTCCGATACACATAGCTGCCACTTTAATGAAGGAACCCCAATCGCGAATACGCTCTTGGAGTTCCATTCCCAGGCCATTTTCGAAGGTAGGGTTGTGCAGGGAATTGAAGATCGTGCTGTACTGTCCATGAAAGTCGAACCACTCTCCTGCCCATGTCCAGATGTGTGGATCCCCAATGCACACACCATCGCAGCATACATTACATTGTTCCTCCACTCTGTGGTTGGGATATCGATCGGGGACTGTGCCTGGTAAAACATCAGGATTATTGGGCCCGCTTGGGTCGTTGCGCTGTGGGTTGTTGATGTGATCTATGAGTCCCTTCGACTACCAAAGTCTGCACTTCCAGCTGCACAAGTTTCTCCATTACGTTGCTCCTATTCAATACTAGCTAGTAGTGAATTTTTTATCCGCTGGGCAGATTGGATGTTTTCTTCCTTCCTGTCTTTCATCAGCGTTTCCTCTATACGGTTTAGCGAGACACCGATCTTACTTTTCCTTCTTCTGCAGCAATTCATCCAACCAGGCAAACAAGGGTTCTGCCATGGCTGTTTCCCAGCCAGGATCCACAAAGCAATGTGCTTGATCTCTGGCAATAACTTGCTTGCTATTAGGGAATCTTTCCTGGAAGGCATCAGTCAAGAGATGAGGGGGGTAAATGCAATCTTGCTCTGCTCCCAGCACCAAAGTTGGGAGGGGCAAGCTTGCTGTTGGCGCCTGTGGAAAATGCGACATGGTGACCAAGCCATCCGAGGGAGCTTTCAATAGACCAGCAATGTACGATTTCAACTTGGGTTGTGTTTCATCTGCTGTGGGCATGAGAAAAATGTGTTTGGTATATCGCGTGTTCATGAGTTTGCCAAACAGGCAGATCCAAAGATAACCAAAGTCGTTGTACATGTTGCGAGGTTCTTTCAGTAGAGCCCCCAAAGGAGGAGTCATTCCCAAGGGATATGTTCCCAGCAAAACAGCTCCTCTGGCCCTCTCAGAAATCACAGTAGAGTTCTGTAGGGCACTTTGGGTGATTAATCCACCCTGACTGTGGCCCAAAATGACAAATTGTGGTTGCTCGACTTGTTGTTGTAGTGTTTCTTCCAAATCCGCCACCAATTCCTTTGTGATCCTCCTAGCCTCCTGGTAGCAAGCGTTGTCCTGGCAGCAAGGAAACTGCATACTGTAGGATGTGTATCCAGCTTTGGACAGGATTTGCTGCAATTCATGAAAGTAGGAGGCGTCATGCCACATTCCATGGAGCAGTACAACAGGACCTCTGTGGAAAGGTCATTCGTGGCAAAATACTTAAGAGACGATTCACCGAGGCATAGGAGACTATTGAAAGGATTTAAGAGACAAAAGCAATCGTCTCCGATTTTTAGGAGCCAATTCAGTAGGAGACATTCCAATTAAGAGACGATCGTTTCGAAATAAGAGATTTAGGAGCCGATACCATACAGTTTACCTGGTACACTTAAAAGACGATCCGTTGAGAATAGGAGACGATTCGTTGAAAATAGGAGACGTTTCAAGAAGAGACGAAAGATTTAAGCGATGATCCGTTTCGTCTCTTACGAAATCCATTAAATAGGAGACGATCAAAAGGATTTAGGAGACGATCGGTAGCACGACTCGAGTTTCCACAGAGGTCCAGGAACCTCCTTTCTTTGGTTCGTCTCATCATTATTATTATTGCAACCTTCTACCTTTACCAATGGCAATTTTTGAGGAGCCGTGCCAACTAGGTAGCCCCAAAGATGCTTCCAGCGCACATTGTAGGCTACCAAAAGACTGACAGAGGCTCCATAAGCAATACCAATGTTCTTGAGTAGTGTCATGCTTTGAATGCATGGTCGGCCACCACAACTTCGAGCAATCCTAGTAAACCTCGACCCTAAACAAAAGATCCATTTGCTGGGTTTGAAAGATCCATCCAGCATCTGGTGGGAAAGAGGTGTCACTGGCCTGAGTTTGCAGACCTCCACGCCTAAATGAAAAAGATACTTAGTCATATCTTAGCAATGCCTCCTCGCTCATAGGGTACTGTTTTCAATACAGTGACAAAAAAGATCTTTCAGAGGAAGAAGCAACTGGTGGAAACTGGAAGTTGGAAGGGTGCTTGGTATCTTTTGTGTTATACGCGTGATTTTAGAAACTTTCCTTATGAAACACCTTCAGGTCATTACACGTTTGCTGTAAATGTTTGAAGGACAGGTCATGTACCTGTACCGCGAGAACTGCATGTATGTGTGTTGGCAGTGATTGGCACTGTAAATTGATCTCCATGTCGACAGGGTAGGTACCAGTACCCTACTGTTGCAGGTGTGGCGACGAGATGATGAGATTAGATGATACCTTGGGCTGACCCACACCCATGTAGATGGTCAAGCCTGAAAATATTTGAAAGTAGATGTCCGAGTGGGGGAATGCCCGTTCTGCGGTGCCTGCCTGCAAGCGTTCTTGCTGAGAAATCGAGGATAGTACTAGATTTCAGCCAGAGCGAGCGATGAAGCTCTCCTCCTGGCTGGCAAAGCAAGATGCAGCCATTCATGTTGTGTGCTTGATTGGCTGACTGCCTGGATAGTTACCTGCTGATAGCAATTGGTGTCTACAACTAAATAGAAAACGAGCACACTGGTACTTTTTAACCCTGCATTTCCACCACTTTTTGCCTTACTCGTGGTGGGCAAGAACCAGCCCCTAGACTTGCTTCGAGCCAAGAAGCTCTAGGCGGGAAAACCATGGTGTTCCACATCACTAGCCAGATGGAATAGGCAAAAAGCAAGTGGCTGTAAATAGCTGGCTCTCAATGCAGCCCTTGCTTGAAGCTTCCAAGGCACCAGCGAGGCTCAGATAGTAAGCTGAAAAACTCGACGATACTGCCTCAATAGCTATCCAAAAAAGCAAAGAGCAGATCCGCCCGGACTCAACAACTAACTTTACAGTAAACACTAAGAAGTCATCTCAGATAGCTATAGGAGGGGACCAGCAATTGCTGCTTCGCCCCTTCAAGGAAGATTGCTTTTGGGTGAAGTATCTTTGACATGAGATGATCAGACTCTAGCTAGACTAGTAGTAGCAAAGAGTGCCTGAACCCTTAAGTCTACCAGTACTCACAAACTGCAATCTTTAAAATCTTTGACACCTCTTTCGCAGCACGAGAAGGGAAAACGCACTTTACTTCCTCTTTTTGGCTCCCTCCTGCTTTCCTATTTCCAAGAGCACCAAAGCTCAGCATTGTTCTTGACAAACCAATGACACCAACCAAAACGTCATTGGTGTCAACCAAAAAACAGACGAAACCTGTGTCATTGGAAACGGCAATGAGAAGAAGAACTTGAGTTTCCTTGGAGGAGTAAAAGCCGCATCAAGTTCAGTAGAGGGAGAGAAAGTGCATCAGCCAATCACAGAGGTTCATTTATTATGTGCTGTAATAAGTAGCGGTAGGGTGAGGTGGTGAGTGAAAGAATATCAACGGGCGGTACCATACCATACCGGAAGCGTTGTACCAGGTAGCAATGCAAGGTTTGAAGTGCGTGGGAGTGCCGTTGGGGTAGCTTGAGGTATTGCCCTGTAAATTATTGAGGTTTAGTCACAGATGTTCAACCAAGCACTATGACTGGCATTTGCTTCAGATCTTTCGTTTTTCATCCTCTTTGCGTAACCAGTAGTTAAATCGTTGGGTGAAGAAGGCATCGATGAATATTTCCGAAGACAGAAAAGTGCTCTCTCACAATGACCACAAACCACGCACCAACCAAGCCACTGCCGGTTTGAAAAAATTCGCAATCTTGATGAGCGATGGATGGGAGGGATCGCTTTGCCAAGCATCAAGATTGACAGTCCACCAGGCACCCAGACCCCATTCACCATGCTCTGCAACGGAAGCATTGAGAGGCTGATTTCGATACATCCCAAGTTCGGTGCATTAGTTAGCATGGTAGCATTCTGTAACAGAGTTTGCTAGGTAGGATCCTACGACCCGAAACATTTACTGGGGTTGGAGCAGCAATCTTTGGAATGATTGGATCCACTGTCCAGGTTAGTGTACCATTCTAACTGCAACAATTGATCTTAGACGTGACAGGGGCATCAAGTGGACTTTGGATCAAATAGTGCTCTTACTTAGGCGAGCAGGCCAACTCGGATGGTCCTCAAGTTTTCACACGCGGAAAGATCCCTTCGAAACCCAGCAGAAGGTGGAACGGCGCACCTGTCTGTTTCTCACAATTTCACTCTTTCCTGCTGTACTCCACTCGTGTCGTTCTCAATTCCCACATCAAGAACTTTTCACAAAAACAACCGAGAAAACTCCCACAGATCAACCACCACCATGAAGAACCTCTCTACTCTCTCCCCACGCCTCCGCGAGAACCAAGCCAAGTCGATAAGGGTAGTCTTAACCCCACAGCTGTCGAAAGAAGTGATTGAAGAATGGATTGGAGCCTTGGAGGTTAATGAATCCCTGACCAACGTCCAAGTCGTCGGTTGTGGTAACTTTGCATCGCACAAACACTGGAAGTCTCTACTGCTGGCACTGTTGTCGCTTCCTCGATTGCAGCACTTCCAGTTGCGTGGTCCTTCTCATCTGCAAGGGGCAGAAGAAGACGTCTGTATTGTTCCAGTTTCTCTGTTTGCCGATCTACCCCTCCGCTCGCAAGAGCTGCAGTCCTTGTCGCTGGCTCACCTCGTTCTCGAAGCGCAAGGCCCAAGAGATTTTCAAGCCATGTCGCATTGGCTGCTCAAGGCGCAAAAGGCTCTGCAAAGCTTTCAACTCATTGGAGTTGGTCTGGAGCAGCAACAGCTACAAGAAGATGATATCATGGAAGACGAATCAGCTGCTGCTCAAGAAGACGACAGCCTGACGACCAGTGCCTTGGAACCTCTCTTAACCACCTTGGAGTCCTTCCCACGCCTCGGCAATCTCGAGATTAGCGGTACTGTCACGCCACTGGGAGTGGTGGAACAGCTACCCACAGGTCTCTTCCAGTCCAAGAGCTTGCAACGACTCTCCATTTCCGACTTTATCTTGTCTCCCACCGCTCTGTCCTCCCTCTTTACAAGCACCACGTCCATTCCAGAATTGGCCATTTCCGGAGATCTCACACAACAAGTGGCGCCTCGCTTGTCCCGCTTCTTCCAGAACAACCACCAAACATTGGACGCCATTGCCCTTCGTCTGGATTCGCTGCAGGATGAAATTGTCAATCAAGAAGTGATTCGTGCCATTGGAAGTTCCTCCCTCAAGGTCGTCAGCTTGTGCAGCTTTTACGGAGGTGCCCTCAGCATGACGAGCCGCAAGGCCGTGGCCGACATGCTGCGCAAGAATTGCAACCTGGAATATCTCTATGTGCCCTGTCCCAACACGGATACGGTCTTTTGGGAACAAGTCCAGTTGTATTTGGGATTAAATGCGGCTGGACGCAAGCAGATATTATCGCACGACGACGGGCCACTCAAGACAGGGGAAAAGCAAGCAACGACATGTCGAGCGGAACAACGGCTCGAGCTGGTTCGCTCCGAGATTCACAATGTCTTTGAATTCCTCAAGACGACTACCGGGCCAGGGAATATTTCGTCCGAAGCTAAATCAGTGCCCTCCAAGAAGCTTCCCGCAGTGACACGAGTTACTCTCCAGTCTACCCTCAAGACATCTTCCCTCAAGTTCATGGCTGCGTCTTCCTGTACTTCCGGCAAGAAACGCCACGAACATTTGGTCCACAAGGCGCGCACAGCCAAGAAGCGAAAGCATCAAAGCTACGTCGCACACAGTGCTGTAGTGCCTACAAAGGGGTTATCAAGTATGTTCATAACACGATCATAATTGTTCTAATTGTAATTTGTACGTAATCAGAGTTACTCTGTCTCCAATCCTGAGTCTGCAGTATTTAGATGCTCTTTCCTCGCTAGTCAGGGCTAGCTAGTAGCTGCATGTAGTCATTGTATTTACATGAGGCTAAACTCGACCATCCGCATGTCAAGCTGGCAACTAGCCAGAGACACCGGTTGTTGCCTACTATGCATACATTAACAAACAAACAAACAGTGTAGTAGTAGCTAGCTAGTTCGTAATCGTTTTCTGTAAAAATTCGCTCATCAAACAACCAATTCAGAACACTTGCTGTAAACACCACAATCGACGAAACGGGAACGATTGCCCTGAAATATTGACAAAAGAGAACCTGGCATGAATACTACTAGCTATCTAGCTAGTCACGTCGTGAATGGTTTGATACCGTCAGAGCTGGGCTTTGCTTTTAGGCACTACCATTAGTACCTTGTCCAATAAACTTGTCTACAACTTGGATCTCTTTTGTGTTGGTGCGAGAAGATCCGAGTAGGTTTCACCATAAATTTCCATCTTGATGGCCTTCAGATTTCCTTTCTCGGATGTCGATACCAATTTTTCTGCCCGTTCCAGTATCTCTTGCGGTAGTGATCCACCTTGTCCATTTGATGGGGGTAATATTGCATCAATCATACCCAATTCCAATGCCTCTTGGGCCGCGATCTGCTTTCCCGTCAGAGCAGCAATCTTCAGAGCGCTCTTATTCAATTTGCACCTGGCCAAGGCTGCAAATCCAAATCCCAACGGCAGACCAATGTTGATTTCGGGGAGACACAGAAAAGCCTTCTTCTTGTCATTGACCATCCAGCGATGGTCACAAGCCAACCCAAGAAACAGTCCCAATCCAAACGCATGGCCATTGAATAAAGCAAATGTGGGAGCTGGAAAGATTAGGATGCGCGCAAGTACCAACCAAGCAAAGTTGACCAAGTCTTGTGAACTAGTTGCCGCCCCATTGCTACTACTACTTTTCTGTTTGCTATTGTGAGGCGTTCCTGTCAATGCTTGAAGATCAAATCCAGCCGAAAAGAATCTCCCACTGCCGGTGAAGACGAGCGAACACGGCATGTGTTGGTCTTCGACTTGGTCCAACAGAGCATCCAAGCGCTTCAGCAGCGCCATGGTGAACACATTGGCCTTGTGAGGCTTGCCAGTAAAGGTAATAATACAGACATTGCCAATTCTGGAGAGCTGAATCTGCTCCTCTTCAGGTGTTGCCATATTATTGTTTCTTTTCAACTAACTGTCTTGGTCGAGCTGTCGAGTAGTTGGTCGGTAGCCTGTGCACGGAAAGTGTCTGCAAAACAACTTTGGACGTCAGAAAGATGGGGTAAATTAAATCTTAAATCTTTGAAGCACAGTGTATCGTTAACCTTATAATTTACCAAAACCACCCTTCTCAAAATGTCTTTTCGGAGTGACTCGACCCGACTCAGTCGAGTCATCCTCAATCAACGCGCAATGCACTCTACTAGTCTACCTAGCTACCGTAGCTACCGGTGGTAGCTTCGATCAGACCGGTACCGGTAGTAGCTACATGTTCATGTAGTACTCTATCTTCTGTTGGTTGTTGCTTGCTTTAATCGCGGAAGTCCAAAACTGGGCAACCTGCCTTTGATGATGATACCGTAGAAACCAACGAAGAAGACCTTGTACTGATGAGGTTAGCAAATTAGACAGGTTCTTTCAACTCTTGCTAGCCAGTCAGATGTTGGAGTAGTCTCAGTCAAAAGTACCCATGGTTGTGTTCCTGCTTGTCAAGAAAGCAACGATACAGACATATGAGTTTGACCGGGCCTAAAAAGAGGACCAGCCAGAGTGAGGTTGATTGTTGATTTCCTAACCCACACCAAATCAGCTGCAAGTACAGCATCTTGACCGCCCGAACTGCAAATGAGGCCATCGTACATACAGAATGCAACTCGACCCTCCGCAAAGTGAACCATAAACCTCCAAGTGGATCATGTATGCGTCCCCTTCTTCCGTTTGTCCAGTACCCCCTTTTTCTACTACTAGCTAGCTCAGTAGAGCCAGCAGCTAGCTACAAAACCTGGAGAGCCTCCAACGACAATCAGCAATCTCCTGTTTGAGTGGTTCCACATATGGGCTGCTTGCTTTGCCTTTTCTCCTCGCAAGATAGTCTCTCGATACTGGGGAGAGTGGATCTTCCTCGCAGGGCAAACATTGATGCTAGCTACTAGGGTTGTCGCTGATATTGTCGGGTGGATTGGGATGCGTCATGGTGGCAGGGCACTGGCAGGTGGCAGCATACTAGTTTTAAAAGAGGGTTACGAGCTTTACACGTAGAACCCAGGTAGGCTCCAGTACAAAAATGTTGGCTGACAATCCACTTTGGTCTAAAGGATTTAAACGGCACTCACAAGATTTAACAATTAGAGGCAATGAGATATGAGATCCCTGGAATAAATGCAAATCAAACCAAAAAAGGACTCTTTCAATAAAATATGGCCTGAAAGTTAAGCCATGGATGAACATGCTCAATACAAACAAGGTCAGCAAAGATATAAAAAAGAATAATTGTGTAATGAGTAGTGTTAAGCCAATTTTTTATGGAGTTAAAAGAAGTTGTATAACAATTTACTTTGGAGAGTACTGTTTTACTATAGTGCAAATTTTCGATGGCTCAAAACTGGCCTAAAACTAGTACTAGTACAAGCTACATCTGCCGGTACTGTAGTACTAGCTAGTAGGCTATCAAAATTAATATCAAGGGCTCATGCATCATCTGAATCTTGGTGAGGTCTTGCTCGATTTCTGTTTTCTTTTCTCGAAAGTGGAACGCAGATGTAAAAGAACGCAACATTTACCGGGAACGCAGCATTATCGATTGAGAACTCATTAAATCAATTTTCTTTGTAAGAAGCTGTCATGTCCAAGGAAGCAAGTCTCTTAAAATCAAAACACAAAACACTTGTAGGTACTCAAGTAATGGACATTTTTATGAGGTTTGGAGATAAGACATTTTAAAGACTTTTGGCTCGTTGTTTCGGTGAGTCTTAAGTCCCGAACGAAGCCTGGCCGAAGCCACACACATACGGTACTCGAGTACCATTGATGATACACCGTACTGGTGTTTCCTTCCAAACTTCCAAACCCACCTTACTTCTCACTCTGACTACTTTCCTTCTCCGTTCTCCGGGTGGACACTTTGACTACTATTAATAGTAGGCCACTTAGTACCGGAGCTGTACCGGTACTCGTAGAAGTCACCGGGACGGTACATGACATCATATGACATACAAAGCGGTACCAGGTACATCGTACCAGCTACATGTACTCGAGTACTTAGCAAACAAAATAAATATTTTTGGAGGAGATTTATTTTGGCAACACTTTGCATCTTTGCATGCATGGCACTCGCTGCATGTACTGAGGTACTGTACCGTATGACAGATGACAGAAACTCCTACTGTACGGGTACTCCATACTCCATACTCCATACTAATAGTAGAACAATGTCATGGCAAAATCTGCTTCTGCGAAGCGGAAAGGACAATTTTTTGTATTTTTAAACCGTAGTGTAAGTTGGATAGAATCTGATGTTGTCCTTTTTTAAAAAATACCGGCATGTCCAGAACACTTCACGTCACCACGTGGCTTCACATTACAGTATTCTTTGGGGTCTGTTGGTTCTTGCGGTTCATCTTTGGCGGCCCAGATTGCTCAGATTGCGCAGATCTCATTATTTCCTGTTTCTAACCTGTTGTAGCAACCCATCTAGCCAGAAACCAAAGGACCGAAACCTGTAAGCCTAAAGCTACACCATGAGTGACAATCCAAGCAACAAATTGAAAGGACCCGCATCTTGTGACGAGGAGAATATGGCTACTGGCAGGACCGAAAACTCCTCTTCGGAGCAGGAGGAGAGGGAGGCAGAAACACTTGTGGTTGCAGAAGGTAAACAAACAGAAGAGGTCCTATTCAACATCCTTGACCAGAAAATCCGGGAAAATGCGAAACCTATTACCATATCAAACCCAGATTCGAATAGTGAAAACCGAGGTGAAAACGGTAACCCCATTTTGGAGACCTGGGAGGCCGCCAGGGCTGACATTGAACCGCTGCCGTCGCAGCCCGACAGCAGCAGAAGAAGGCTCATGGAAACAGCACCCGGAGCCTATGCTGTTCCTGGTCAACTATCTATAGCAGCTTCTTCTGGAAACGAATTGCCGGGCGATGAGACTGCTGTTGCTCCCGATCCTACTCCAGATGCCACCACTACGGTTAGTGCGTTTTTGTCGCCTGCAGAGAATGAACATAGCGCCAACAGCGACAGTCACCGTCAAGCCGTCGGAGAACTTGTTGTCCATGCAAGCCCCGATGAGGATGGTATAAACCAAGAAAATGCAAAAAAACAAAAGGCTGTAGGCTTTGTGGCTGTCTTGCTATTGCTGGTTGTGATTGTTCTCCTTGTGATGGGGTTGGCAGGGACCTTTGACAGCAAGACAGATGACAAGTATGGCAACGCAGAGTCTGGTACGGCAAACAATTCCCCACATCTTGTTGAAGTTAATGACACTGCAGTGGATGTTATAAAAAACTTGCGATTCTCCAAGACACTCAAGAAGATCAAGTCCGAGGGAATCCTACACTGCCCTTTCCATCCAATAGCAGGATACATGTTTGCCAATTTAACCACTGGCGATGCTGATGGTATTCACACTGCTGTGGTAAGCTCCTGTTTGTTCCTCAGCACATCTTCATTGAAGTCATTCTGACAGGTTTGCATGCACTTCTCCATTGATACAGTGTCGAGCTATTGGGTCTGCCATCTTTGGGGCTGGTCCACTACCATCTGGGTTTAGCAATCGCAACAAGCGGTGGACCGTCAATGCCACTGTTGGCTCAAAGTTCGAGGAGAAGTATAAGGATTTCAATGAAACTTTCCCCAGGATTGAATGGGTGGATCTAACTCCAGTTTGGACTGGAAATAGGGGTCTCTCCCAGATTCTTATGGGTATTGGTTACAGTATGGAACGGCATACTTACGAGGTGCGTTGATGGCGTATATCTTATTCAAGGATGGTTCTTTGAAACGGCTCTCACCCATGTCATAATCCAACCAAAATGTTCATCCCATGCAAACCCTGCGTCCCATTGCAAACCAGCATTACCTCAAGTTTGGACTCTCCTTCACCCAACCATATTCTTTTGAGGGTGCTTACATATCTGGCGACCCTTTCTATGTGGAATGCTTTGTTGATAAGGGCTTCAAGCACACACAAGAATGCCAAGACTTATCTATTTGCACCAACATGGGCTCATCGTACTACACATTTCTTTCTGGGGTCATTCCAGATCGGCGCATCCGCAGGATCCAGTTTTACACTGATGCCTATCCCATGTTTGTCAATGCATCATGCAACCTGATCATTCATTCGGCGGGTGAACGGGCCAGGGATGTTGTCCTCAACCAGTATGGCTACAAAGGAAACTTTACTACCAGTGGTGCTGTTTTCAACAAAGAGCCTATTGGGGTTGGAACATTTAAAGGTGACCCGGTGTGGGATGACTTTGTCAATGCTGTGGTCCAGTCCCTAATCTCGGCTGAAGTCCATGGCATCACCAAAGCCACAGCTCATCTGTTCCCTCAAACTGATGTCTTCGGGGAAGACTTCAGGGATATGTTCCGAAACGCCATTGGGGCTGTTGGAAATTTTGCAGAGATCTATGAAGAGCATCTGCAACAGGCAATCCCACGGGAAGCAGTGAACACTATCAACTCTGGCGATGCCGGACTTTTGTTCACTGCACCACTTGGAACCCAAAAGCTTTGGTCAAATTTTACTCTTGGTCGCAATATTCAACGAGTTCTGGAACGTGGGCGGCTGCTCTGTGGTGTCCGGTTAGGCCGGCCTGGCTTTGCCACTGGCAAACATGACAATGGCACCACATTTGCTGGCATGGACATTGATTTTTGCAAGGCTGTTGCAGCCAGTATGTTTGGTGGTGATACTCAAGCTGTAGACTACATTGAGCTCAATTCAAGTTACCCCAGTGATGGCTATGTTAAGCTCGCTGCCGGTGAGGTTGATATGGTTGCTGGTGCAGCTTGGAATCTTGCCAATGATGTGAAAGAACCTGGCACAGGTATTGGCTTTGCCTTCTCACAGCCCTACTTCTATGGGTACAGTGCGGAAGAGGACAACCTTTGCCTTGCTTCAATGCAAGATGATCAAGTATGGTCAACTTACTTGTACTGGGTTGTAGGCTGCACCATCTATGCCGAACAAGAAGGAATTGGCCAGACCAACTCGACAGAGATGCCCTTGATTTACGCTTTTGGTGAAGGCTTTCAACGAATGTTTCGAGATATTGTTTTTGCTGTCGGAAGTTACAAAGAAATGTACTCCCGGAACATCGAGCCCACCATCCCTCGGTCAGTTCACAGAAGAAACAGTTTGAACTATGGATCAAGTTCTGGCCCTCAGCTCTACCCCATGCCTGGTTTCGTGTAATCCTGCCTCCTCCTAACTTAGTAGTACTTTAATGTTTCTGTATTGAGAACTCTTTAGCGGGGGCAGAAAGTCAGCGTGAATTGAATCGGCTTGATGGGGCATGCAGTGCACATCGCTCATGCTCAGCATGTATCTTCTTCTGTTGCTAAACTGGCAACCTGCATTTGATGATAGAATCATTGGATTGGAAGAGGACATTGTACATCCTGCTGAGATTTTAGCCTACAATCTAGATACTGGTTTCAACTCTAGCTAGCTAGCTAGCCAGTCAGAGGCCAAAGTATGCATCGCTCGTTCTGCTCCTCGCTCGTGCCAAGAAAGCAATGATAATCAAGATTTCTTACCAAGCTAGCAGCGCTGAACACAGGTAAAGGGTCTGGTAAAGGAGAGTTGCCTTCGTACAGGTCGCAAAACACGCAAATCTCGCATCCTGAAACGTTGGTGGGGCTCTGTACTCGACACTCGACATCCAACACGAGGAGCGTTGAGCTCTGAAGCAGCTCCCTCATACCATGACGGCTGCCATGACTGAGACCGTCACTCGACTCGACTCATGGCGCGGTGCGGCAGAGTGCAAAAGGTTCGAGCAATGCCGGAACTACGAGCACTCGAGCCTCGAGCAAGCTAGGATTGAAGTCGCAAATTGATGCACGTCAAACAGTTTTTTGATTTTTTGGAAAGAAAACAAGTGCCCCCTGGACGTGGTCAGGACTTCGAAATGGCTCTCCCTGTGACTGGAAGAATGACTGCTGTCAAGCTTTTTACATGATATTTAGGTGTCTGTGCCCCAGAATCAAGATCGGGCTCTTATCTGGGACTTACCAAGACCCTGAAGAAGCTCTATGAAACTGGCAGAAGCTGAGCATGTCAACACGTCAACTACAGTCTAATAAATCTTTCGACATCCTTTCTACGATTACTACGATGTGTTATTTAAAAATTTTGGTTACTATGACTAAATGTTCCCTTCCCAGCGTTCCTTGTAACTCTCCTTTTAAATCTTTGTTAATCAACAAATGCCTCCTCTAAATCTCATCGATGCAAACAAACAACGGTACAACGGTACCGGTACAGTGTACGGTGTACTTCTCACAGCACTTACAGTGACTAATCAGTGTTCACGGTGTCTGCGTCTGTTGATTGTTCCAAGGTTCCAACGCGGTTTGCTGGCTATTGGATGCTGGCGATTGTCAAATGGCCAAAGATAAAGCCAACACGCTGACATCCTGTTCCCAGTTCGGGCTTCCCATGCATGGCTGGGCCTTTCACTTACTTTGATGAGCTCAAAAAATCCTCTCGTCGCTCGAGCAAAAAGATTCCTTGCAAAAAAAGCAAAAACAGAAACGATCCACCACCATGATGAAAGATTTTTCGGACCGCTCCTTGTTGCAAGAAGAACAGGTGAGATTGGAGATGCAGATCCAGCGTCTTTCAACCCCACTTCGCCTCGAAAAGCCCATTGAACAGCTCAAGTGGGAAACCCAGGAAACGGAGGAAATGCTGAACTCTCTGCACGAAACAATGGCGGGAATCCACATGTCACTGCACAGCGGCTCGCCGAATGGTATGGATGATCATTCCAATGATGATGAGTTTGCAGAGGACGAACCACGAAACCATCCCGAAAAGAAATAATGAAGTCAGGAGCGCTACAGAGAGATTACCAAGACAAAAAGGTAACACTGTGGTTGGGCGGCACATGCCATCACTGGCCTGGTAACGACGAGAACAGCGTGAAGAAGGTTGTCCTGGCTTTCGTGGGTTGTGGTCAACCATTCCAAAAGCAGCGGTTTGGGTGGCAAATCTCAGTCACTGACCTGAGACAGACAATCAAGGACCAAATGAATATCCCACAGCCAGCCAGCTTCCAAATCATTCAGAGCCGCAAAATAGAAGCGATAGACTATATAGACTCCACTTGTTATCCATTGCCTTGTTCTTTCCAAAACACGAGCTAGCTAGGAGCCGGTGTGTTCAAAGGTTTTTGCTACTGAATTGCATTGCATTGCGTTGCTGGCTACTTCAAACGTCGTCATCTCCTACTCTTCATCCACCACCACTTCTCCTCGCGGCTATTTCTCATTCTTGACTATCTAGCTAGTCATGGTGACTGACTAGTAGAGTTTATATTACATGTATGATCACAACGAGAAACCGGAGCTTCTCTGCGGTTTGCTTGTGCCCGGCAACTGGCTGATGAGAAGCACAAGAGATCGGCGGGAATGTGGATGAGATAACTCGATCCTAGCTAGCTAGGCATAGCACCACCAGGGAAGGAATGGATCCTGCTCCAGTGGACGCCCTCTAGTCCTGTTCAATCCTGATAACTTGGCCCTTCGCTGTTGACTTTTAAAATCGTTACGTTGAGCTGCATAAGAAAGCATTCTACCCACCCCGATGCTTTACAGCGCTTGCTGGCTTTTAAAAACGCAACTTTCCACCTTCATTTTTCTTCTCGGGCTGCCTGAAAGCTTTGTCTGGTTGCGGTGTGTTGTCGCACTTGTCGCAGACTATGCACGTAAGGGTTGCGACCTCTTGTGTTGTCGAAGACTACACTCTTTTGTCTAAAAGTTTCCATGGAAATTCATACACGAGGCAATTCAGAACCAATGGATGTTTCAAATCGCCCAACGCGCCAGTTTCAAGACCTACCGGTGCCGGTATCGGCCGCGAATAAGGGAGCTCGCCTTCTTCGCAGAGGCAACCAAATACGTACATGTACATGCAGCCAGCTTGTCCATGGAGAGAACGCTGCTTTTCATTGACGGCCGGGTTCGAGATCGCCTGCCTCCGACAAGGTCCAAAGCGGGCTGAGGAACCTTGATGTTGCGGCCCCTTGCTTTCTTCAGCTGATTCATTTCATGGTGGAGCGAGTTGGCGGAAGCAAAGCTTGTCGGTCTCGAGGCCGGGTTGGAAATTATGATGGTACAGAAGGGATTGTGAACTCCCTGTTGATTTCGCTGTTCAGGCGTGTTCTGACTACTGTCTGATTGGCTGGCATGATGGAAGTCGGTACCTACTACCGGTAGGCATCATCCCAGGGGATCAACATCGTTTTTGTGTCAATTCTTTCAAAAGAATGCCACATGGAATACGCAGGAGATCAGGGAAACCATCCAAAAGCCATCCCTGGTATGTGTGCTCTCTTGTGTTTCCCTACACAAGCACACTTCCTTGCAATGAAGGCAGGTCTCTGCAACTACTACACGTGTAGTAACCGCAGTTGCATGCACAGATCGATCGGTACCCCCTTGGCTGAGAAGATTCTACGCATTACTGTAGAAAGCTTTTGGGCAATACCCTCGCATGACGAACATTGCTTGCAACTGAACGCATAGCATTTCTAAAATAAACACGAGAAGGAAGCCGTTCTTGGATTGGATTGACTTTCTCGACCCCCCCTCCCAAGAACTGGCAAAACACAATCCGTATTGGCATCCTCTATTCCAATCGCAGGTACACAAACGGATGATAGCATCGCTCGTCGTACTGGATCGAATGAAGCGACAGTAGCATTGCAATCAACAAATATGGTGTCCTCGGAGACAAAGTTTCACTATGGTACTGGTGCGCCGCCAATCTGAGAAGCGCACTACCATACTAGCTAGTTCAATCGACTGCTGGCAACGGTAGCAAAGGCACTGATAGCTCGTCCTTCTAACTTCAGGGCAACGCAGCGAAGACTCAAAACGATGCATCCGGTTACTGATTTGCTAAACTTGTCCCAGTCTCTCAGTTTTTCATTTTACTAGTTCATTTGTTTACATCATGAGTGTAGAGTGATAGATGATATTTGCCTCTCGGAATTCATCGACAGATACATGTACTGGTACCTCCGTTGTCGCTTGACCATCGCAGAGTGTGACACAACTGTGTCTGCTTGGCATGTGTGTGAATGCAAGTCAATCTCCTTCATGCTTGCAATCGGAAAATCATCAACTCTCGGCGACAGTTGGTGATCTCCTGCGTGAGCGCCACTTGGGACGAAATGTACGAAAAGTATCAGTGCAACCAGCCCAACTCGCTCTGTTCTGGTGAAGCCTCTTTCAACTGTGAAGCCTTGTTCCCTTCGTGTGGTCTCTGCCGCCGCAGACCAACAAGTTGCATCAACTCGAGTATCAGCGTCAACGTGGCTTTTGGAGCTTCTCGGTGTCTTTTCTGTTCCCAACTACGTGCTGCGGATTGATTGTTGAGATGAAGACCGAGCTGCGGCCTCCTTTTCTTTCGTCCCTCTTGACAACATCTCCATCGATACCGTAGGAAGCGCGGTGCTCTCGGCGCGTGACAAACGGAGGCGCCTGTTACACAACCATTTAGCCAATTCGATCGGTCCATTAAACTTTGAGAACGACCTCGCTGCCAATCTCAGTTCATTCGAAGCGAATGATGACCAAGCAATCTCAGTTACTTCATTGCCAGTATCCTTCGCCCTCGCCCTCAGCAGAGTTTTCAGAAGGCGTGGCCTCGAATCCGGGGGACAAGAGCTGCTGGAGAGCTGGAATTCAATGGAACGCATATGATATATGATCCGTCCATCACTGTGAAAAGTTGAAGACGGTTTTGATGCATCCTCCCGTCACCGCAGGGAGGAAGCAACCAACCTCAAGGTTCAACGTAGCTGCATCCACCATGGCAACGGTAACTGGTCGAAGGATAGCCAGGCATCTCTTCAAAGATACATTCTTTCTTTCAGCGGTCTCTTGATCAAAAGATAGGCTTTTTGGGCACTGGGGTCGGGATGGGGGTGGAGTGGCACTTTCGAGTCAGCTAGCGCACAGTTCGACGGGATGGGTGGGATGAGTGGGATGTCACTCGGCATTTCCAACGTGACGAAAGAAAGAATTATTGTGCTTGCAACCTTATGTCTTGGTTTCATCGCTGACTGTACATTCTCCACAGTGGGCCGACTGGGGAGTGTCTCAGTCCTATTAATACCATAAAATAAATGTCCAGCCGCAACTGCCAAGGATCAAGGTAAAGGTGCATGTTTTCTGGTGCTGCCTGTATTTTATCAGCACCTTGAGATCGCAGCTTTGGACAACATTCAGACTTGCTCCATCCCACACCAGGCTGAGCAGCTATCAAAAGCCATCCTGCAGAACTTTATCTGGTTAGGTCATTTGGGCCACATCCCCCGATGAACTTGTCACTGCCTCCAGAGATACAAATATGCCGCACTCCGGTTTGGGAAATACGCCAGCTGCATCATCATGACCTCCTCTTCATCCACCGTGAAGAGACTAAGGTATTGGCAAAGGGTTCGGGTGAAATCAGGGAACAGACCGATCGGAGGCGTCTTGAACTCGGGCGGATGACTGAATGGATAGTGTAACTTGTTGCGTCTAATTGGAGACAAGTTTTATGATTCATTAGCGTTGGGACAACTTTACAAAAGCACATGCAAAAAGCCGAGAAGTGAGAAGCGGCTCCATTGCGTCTTTCGAACTCGTTGAACATTTTCATCCCTCGACTCGGCATACATACATGCGGGGGCTTTGGGCTGTCTCGTCTGTGAAGCTTTGTGTGGTCTCGTCGGAATGCATCAGGCGAATAGCCACCAACTGACACATGCTTTATTAAGGATCCACGTCTTTGGCTTGCCCATGTGAACCGGCGGCCAGTGCCGTCTCTTGTGCAAAACGAAGCCCATGCTCGTCTTCGATAACACCGACTTGAGCGGCTTCGTTGGCCCAATAAGCCTTGCCTCCTCCCGGTGCTGATTTCCGATTGCCCAATCGCAACAACTCCTCGCGTAGCTCACGGGGGACCTTGGAACAGTCTTTTGCCAAGTGAGAGTTGATAATGTTTTGAGCCGATTGGTAGATACCAGAAAGCCTGGATGGATAAAAGGCGGCGGCGGGTGCCTTTTCTTTGCGCTTCAAATGACAACAGAACCTGCAGCGGATCCCCACTTGTCCGAGAACAATTGCCTTGTTTCTCCCTTGGGCTCCCTCTTCTACTTTGTTCTGGTCCGCCTCAAAATACTCCAAGTGCTTTCTCGCCAAACACTGATACGGGGTTAGCCTCCCTTCGTCTGAAGCATTGTACATGACCCGAGGAGGCCTTCCTGTAATGCCGTGAGTGTCCACTCTTGCCACCGGAACGGTGGCAGCAGCAGCAGCAGCAGCAGCAGGGGCAGGCTGGTTTTGAAGCTGTGGAGCAGCACCCTGGCCAGCCTCTGGGTTGTGGGCAGCAGGAGCAGACGGGAACGCCGCGGGAGGTGGGGCCCCAACAGACATCGAAAGACCACCCGTGGCGGCAGCTGCCGCCAAGGCAGCGGAAAACTGATTCGCTGAGTTATTTGCTTGTGGTCTTGCTGGATAATTGCCTTGCATCGACAATGCCTGAAGGAGGAGATTGCCATTACCTTGCTGTACCGGTGCCGGTACCAGTACCTGCTGTACAGGTTGCTGCACGGGTTGCTGCACGGGTTGCTGTTGTCCGGGCTGAATTACACGAAGCAGATCCCCACCCGCTCCTGAAGCAATTATGCGCAGCATCAGCTCGGCGTTGTTGACTATTCCTGCACCTGCACCTTGAGCGCCCCCCTGTTGTATATGTACATTATTTGGATTGGCCTGCAAGTTATTACCCTGTTGCACATTATTTGGTACAGCAGCTTGTGCTGCACCATAACCGAGTAGCAAGCCAAGCTGCTGCTGCAGTTGCTGCTGCTGCTGTGTAGGCTGAACCTGAGGCTGAACCTGTTGCTGTGGCTGCGGTGCCTGAGCAACACCAAGTGCCAATCGGAGAATGTCTACAAACAGAAAGAAAAAACCAGTACAATACCAGCAGTGAGGCGTGGCACGTCGTCAGAGGCCAATTGCTTCAAGCTACAAGCCAGCCAGCAGCCACCAACATAAGAGCTACGACCAGCTGAACAGTCAATACCATAGCTTACCGTTTGGGCTCAATTGACGTTGTGGCTGCAGACTTTGAGCCGCGCTGTTCATTTCTCCTGGAGGTTGCTGTACATTGGATTGTACATGCAACTGAGGCGGGAATTGCCGTTGCGGCTGCGGCTGCGGTGGGGCTTCCTTTGTTTCTTCTTCATTGTCCTCATCAGATCTGCTGCGCTTTACTCCCCGAGACCCACCTTGTCCTCTGGTTGGGTCCATCTTTTGTTTCGCTCTGGTTGTAGCAAGATAGTTGCCTAAGTCTTGTCCTACTCCAGCTGGCTTGCTAGCTAGCTACTGGTCTTGTCTCCAAAGTGGAAGTGGAAGTGGCAGGGCAAGTGAGGAGAGATTTGGCAATTCGTGTGCGTTGCTTTGCCGCGGAAGTGCCGGTCGGACTGTTCCCAACGAAAAATTGTGTGGAAAACTAGCCTAAAAACTGCTTTGGTCGCATCGGTAGCTGGCTTAGAGAAGAGCTTGAACAAGCTACCTGGTACGCCACGGTAAAATACGCTTTGTTTTGAGGGAAAGTTCAGTGATTGGAATGGCATCGCACAGCGCTACGGTACGACTGTACTAGCTAGCTACCGGTAGTCTAGTACATGTAGCTACTAGTAGCATGGCGCAATGGCATTGAGAAGTACATGACATTGTAGAGTGTTCTCTTTCCGCAATCTACTCTAGCTATGATAGTACTACTCGTAAGTAGCTGCTGTGCGTTGCGCTTGCCAGCTATAACAGTGGCAAACCAGAAAAGTGATTCTCTTTCTACCTCTCTCTTGAATTGAATTAGGGGAGGAGGCAGTCTCAGAACATGCGACTTACAAAATGCAATTCAAGGCAGCAATGCAAGGGATTGAGGTTTTCCGAATCCGTTCCATGGGCAGCAACGGAGACCACACAGGAACTAATAGAATCCGTGTTCTCAAAAGCTCAAAAGGTACTGGCCACACTGGGCGACCAAACTCGATTTGGCAAGACTTTAAGAATTGGATTGCAACAGTGATACTGGCGAATCCTTTAAATCGCGCAGGCTGTTTCGCTGCTCCCAGAAAAATCTCTATATCACCGATATCACCGATAAATCTACGTCGCATGTAAATCGTCCATACTACTAGTAGCAAATTTAATGACTCCGTGAAGTCCATACGGTACATGTACAAACAAATCCTGTGGGATGATAGTATGATACCACCAGATACAGTATACTCGAGTAGTAGCTACCTTGGTTGCAATAACAGGAATTTCTGGACACAATAGTTCTCAAGATAACCCGTCAGAAAAACGTTACAGAACAACAGTTTGGTACGACTTTAATTGTACAATTGCCTTCCAAAGAAGCGGCAAAGAAAGGTACCAGTGCTGCTGAGTACAAGTCTAATGCCTGGAGGAACTATGTAGTTCTGGAGTACTTATTACTTATTAGAGCAGTACTTACTGGAATAGTACTAATGACTGCAATATTTTCGCACTGGATCGGATAATGTGCCTTGATGAACTACATGTATTATGATAGTACTAGTAGTCTAGTCTATTTTTAAATAGCTTGAACTGTTGATGTGCGGATTGATTGGATTCGATTAGATTCATCCAGAGCAAGCACACATTTTGAGAACGGCTTGCGAGCTGCGCAGCTTTTCAGTGGTGAAGATGTAAGCTCGTGATCATGATGAAGGCCCTACCGGTAAAGGGATACTTTGATACTAAGACTTTACCATTGCGGACAGTACTAGTAGCCGTTACGCATACTGGTAAGCACATGGCTCAAAACTGCATGGCAAATAAATGGTCCATATGAGGGATTGGATGATTGGAACCAATGGGAGCCATTGGGAAAGAGTATCATAGACTTATAATTTTAAAAAAGGCACCAGCACCTCAAGTGACTGTGAGTTAGCCAATGCTAGCTAGTTCTAGTACTCAAAGTACTCAGTGGTAGATCTAGAGTAGCACAAACATAATATAATATCCATATATTATTATAACGAGAGTACCGTATACCTACTGAGTACTCCAGTTCTTTACTAAGTACTAGTATAGTACTCCAGTAGCTCTTGCATTCTACGGTAACAGCCTCTGTCTGTTTTTTCGCAGAGGCTTTCCTCCGTTGAAGTTTGTAAGACTGCTGAGTTCGTGCTCCGAGTGACGTCGAGTCGAGTCGAGTCCTCAGTCTCTCAATCACAGTCCTCAGATTCAATTCGATTCGACTCGAGTAAATTTTGCGAGATTTGAAATCGAAATCGAAAGCAATCCCATCAGAATGTAAGGTTCAGGCTGAAGCGGAGTGCACGTTGTTATTGAATAAGTCAATGGGAGCTGCGATACCTCTGCAGAAAGACAGATAGAAGAAGGATGACATGTTTGAGATTTTTCCCTTCTTTCAAGGGAGCTCTGGCGACAACACCCGACTTCGTCGTGTGTTGCCGCCCGGTATCATTCCCTCATTATAACCTTCTTTTTTATTTAAGCTAGCCATGTTTGAGATTGCACCCTTCTTTCAAGGTACCCCTTGCTCTAACCATAATTTTACAGCTGTCACTCCGGTATGTACCTGTAACTTTTGTAGCTTCTGCTGGCTTATTGTGTTGAGTGCACTAACCTTGAATAATCAGGATTTATTCCTACCCCTAAGTTTGTAGAACCTTCAATTTCCAATTTTGTTGGCTTACGCCTATCTCTATCCCTATATTTTAGCTTTACCGGAACAGGAAATAGGAAATAGGATATAGGAAATAGGAAATAGGAATTACCGAATTAGTCAATGGGAGCTGCGATACCTCTGCAGAAAGACAGATAGAAGAAGGATGACATGTTTGAGATTGCACCCTTCTTTCAAGGTACTAGCCCAGGTGACAACACCCGACTTCGTCGTGTGTTGCCGACCTGTATCATTCCCTCATTATAACTTCTTTTTTATCTAAGCTAGCCCAACACCCGACTTCGTCGTGTGTTGCCGCCCGTTAACCATAATTTTACAGCTGTCACTTCTGTATGTACCTGTAATGTTTGTAGCATCTGCTGGCTTATTATGTTGAGTGCACTAACCTTGAATAATAATGATTTATTCCTACTCCTGAATTTGTAGAACTTTCAATTTCCAGTTTTGTTAGCTTAAGCTATCTCTACCCCTATATTTTGGCTTCACCGGAACAGGAAATAGGATAAGTCAGCGGGAGCTGCGATACTTCGGCAGAAAGATAAATAGAAGAAGGAGGATCATGTTTGAGATTGCACCCTTCTTTGAAGGCAGCCCTGGATCTCTGTGGAAACTCGAGTCGTGCTACCGATCGTCTCCTAAATCCTTTTGATCGTCTCCTATTTAATAAAATGGATTTCGTCTCCTAAAAATAGGAGACGAAACGGATCGTCTCTTAAATCTTTCGTCTCCTCTTAAATCGTCTCCTATTTTCAACGGATCGTCTCCTATTCTCAACGGATTGTCTCCTAAGTACACCATGTAAACTGTATGGTATCGTCTCCTAAATCTTTCGGATCGTCTCCTATTTCGAAACGATCGTCTCCTAAATGGAATGTCTCCTAATGAATCGTCTCCTAAATATAGGAGATGATTGCTTTCGTCTCCTAAATCATTTCGATCGTCTCCTAAGCCTCGGTGTATCGTCTCTCAAGTAATTTGTCACGAATGACGTTTCCACAGAGGTCCTGGCGGCAACACACGACTTCGTCGTGTGTTGCTGCCAGGTATCATTCCCTCATTATAACCTTCTTTTTAATTTAAGCTAGCCCTGTTCATCATGTGTTGCCGCCCGCTAACCATAATTTTACAGCTGTCACTCCTGTATGTACCTGTTTCTGCTGGCTTATCGTGTTGAGTGCGCTAACCTTGAATAATCATGATTTATTCCTACTCCTAAATTTGTAGAACTTTCAATTTCCAGTTTTGTTTGCTCACGCCTATCTCTATCCCTATATTTTGGCTTCACCGGAACAGGAAATAGGAAATAGAAAATAGGATATAGGAAATAGGAAATAGGAAATAGGAAATACCAAAAAAGGGGGTGAGGGCTCAGGCAGATAGACTGCCGAGGTAAAGGGGGTGAGGGCTCAGGCAGATAGACTGCCGAGGTCAGATAGACTGCCGAGGTTAAAAGTAGCCATCTACCCTAGTACTAGTAGTCTAGTACTGGTACGCCAGTATCCGTAGCTTGTTGGAGCTCTGTGCGAGGAAGATCTTTGAGAAGCTTGTATTGAAGACCCAGCAGCTTTAGTCTACTTTACAATCGGAGACCATCGCTTTTGAAGTCAGGTTCATACCAAAGTCAGTTTGCCAGCTTCTTTAAAGTGGGAAGTAAACAATGACATGCATGCTTTTCCGTCAACAAGTTGTTCAACTTCTGAACCAAAATCTATGGTGCGCCTGCCAACATAAACCACAATTTCATGAGTACCACACAATAGTCCAAGCACTGATGATTCCCATGGGGGATGAAAAAGTCAAACAACGGAAAAGTTACCACAGAGTGAAAGCTCGTGTTATAGCGATTAGGGAGTTTGTGAGTAAACTTACTTAGTCCAGTCACTTTCTGCAAAAAATCCTGTAACAACCTATTGCTCATAATTTGTCAATTTCCTCTTCATCTTCAGTATCCAACTCTCATCTTCATCATCATCATGCGCTTGTCCTCCTGTACCGGTATTGTTCTCTTCTTCCACTTCTTCATCTTCACTTGCATCATCATCACATGCAGTGCTACTGGCATGGTACCGTACTGTACAGGAGGATTTCACTGAGCTGTGCCCGAGACAACACAGAGTTAGGTCAGATTGTCGAGGACAAGGATTATGGCACAGACAGGTTCACCCTGCTCGACTGACGATAGTTGGTGGGTAAGACCAAAACCAAACTAAAGGTTCTGGTTTGTGGAACCAATACCTCATCCAGAGTTTTCGTTCATGAAGCAAAGGTACCGGTTACAGATCCTTGAGCTATGCATAGCTCTGCTACTGATCAAGAAGGTGTCTATCTAATAAAATGGGTATGGTCTATTTGGTTGGTAATCCATGTTCTATATCTAACTAATTGAGTTACATCTATCTTATCCAAATCCTCGACGACCCACTTGTGCATACCGGTACAGGAAAATGGTGCCGACACCGGAATCAACACTAGGAAATAACACTGGAGGGATGAATCCGGTAGGAGGATCCACTCTCTTGCGTGTTGTCGTGTAGCCTCCTCCTCTTGTCGCCTTTCAATGACTCGACGACAATAGATCCGTTCATGCTGTTGGTAGGGCTGGAGTGAACAGTCTTCTCCGTAGCAGTAGCGTCTCTTCTTGGTATCCGATCGTTCGTTCGACCTCGACAATGGGATTTCCTCGGCCGTCAGCAGTACAGCAGAGAAAACAACAAATAGATATGAGTTTTGTTTTCTGTGCTCAACTGCAGACGACCGGAGACTTACTCTTGCTTTTCAAACTGCACCAACTTGGTCGTCATGGGCCGAGAACTGACTGCCATCCCATGGTCTATAGGATTCAATGAGGGATGGCTTTCGA